CCCCAAAACCCCAAAACCCCAAAACCCCAAAACCCCAGAGTTAGTAAATAATCTAATAAATCTTACCTTAAGCTCACAATAGATCAGACTCAATGCGGAAAGTTCCTTGATGAGTTCCAGAGGTGCTCTGTAACAAAACCAGTGATGAAAGCCGAACCAATTCGAAAATGTATTAAAACTTTTAAACTTCAATTGATCCGATCAAGTGAAAGCCTCGGCTCAGGAGGTTTCAGAGTCAGCCTCTCTCGAGTTCTCCTAAACGGTCTGCAAGTATGATACAGTGAGCAATAAAGGGATCCAAGATTATATCAGCGAAGTAATAAAGCAGATACTTCAGAGCTTTTACCACAGATATTCCAAGATATTTTACAGGGTAATTCTAGTCCTACTTCTATCTGTCATGGCTGCCCATTACCTTAGCAAATTGAGGGATTATGGCAGGATATAGGACTTCTGATGGAAATATGAGCATGACAGGCCAAGAGGGGAAGAATACAGCTGTGCCAACCACTATCATCGGAGCTTTAGTGGGGCTCTAGAGTGTAAAACTATTCATATTCTGCACTTTGTATCTATTTTAATAATAAGGCCAGGACCAAGTGTCGCACTGAAAAGTGTCCCTTGCTTTTAGAATGAAAATAGAGTATTTTTAGGTTTGAAAAGCCAATTGATAAGGCCAAATTTTAGAAGAGGATCCTTCCAAACTTTTCATGAGTCTAATACATCTCTGGCCTATAGTTCCAACTTGTCTGGTATCATTTGAGATGAATTTTGGGAGATACATACCTACTTCGTGTCATATTTTATACCTCTAAGTGCTGTGGAGGAGCAAACAATTTCTCTAAATCTTCAGAGAGCAGATATATCTGCCAAGATCCTTAAGAATATGTCATTGCTACTGTTTGAGTTGCTTGAAGAGATCCTCAGCTTGCCAAAGTTAGAAGTCAGAGATTTCAATATTAGTGAAGAACAGTGGGGTTTTGGGGTTTTGGGGTTTTGGGGTTTTGGGGTTTTGGGG